AGAGACACATATCCTCGGAAGTGGGGGCTGGGTCCAAAGGTAGAACCTGTGAATACTTTGGTAATCAAAGTTTATTTACAATTATTCTCCAGATTAACTGCTTGTTGTTGACAGGCAAGTCAGAAAAAGATGATGATTCAGAAAGGACTGCTGGACAAACACGGGAAGCCCAACGGCAGCACACCCAATGACTGGAAGAGCCACTATGTGGACTACAGGTAAGCATCACCTGGGGGGCGGGGCCAGTTGCAACGTGGAGCCTCACCTGTTGTGCAGGCAGTTATCCCTTGTGTAGCTGATGTGCTCTGAGACTGGATTGCTGAGCTGCAGCTCACCTGAGACGAGCAATATGGCTTTTATAATGTTGGGAAGCACTGCAGACTGATGTTTAAAGCAAACTTTTTGTTTTGACAGCGTCTCTAAGGTGACTGCAGAGTCATGTGACACACCGGCCAAGGTCAGTCACGTGCTAATGGAAACCACTGCACAAAGTATAAATGCAGATAAACACTTGACTTTTACCCGTAACTCATTCAGTGGGTTGCAGAACACGTCTCTACATAACTGTCACATGACAAAGCCTCATGTCCAGAGACTGATTTCATGACTCGCTGACCTTTGTGCCCACAGAGGAAACGGGAGGCATCGGACAGCGACTGTGAAGCCATGACGACACCGAGCACACCATCGATCGAAGTGAAGAAGAAGAAAAAGAAGAAAGAGAAGAGGGCAGAACTGGTGGAGCCTGAGGAGACAGTAACTGAGGTAGAGGTGAGTGATGGCATTCAACACCGCTAAGGTTGGGTACCAAGAACCCGTAGGTACACTGATGAAGTACCAACGAGCGGATGTCTGCAACTGCTCCCTCCCAGAAAGTAGAGTTTGAATATAAAATCTGTGACGTCATTAAATTAAGACAAGGAGCGTTACTCTAATATAAATGCTTTTCAATAGATTTGACATATCTTTAGTTCCTGCACAATGAGCACACATTAACTGATTGGTATTCCCCAAATTCCAATGAACTAAACTTCTGGCTCTTAAACACTAATTATACTGTAAACGATTATTCAGTTTGAAGAGAAATTTCCATGGCAATAACCTTTTATATTGGTATATAAAGTTTTTTTTTTTTTAATTGTATCTGTTTATCATTGCCAACGGAAAGTAAACAGTTAAGATGAAAGGACTTTAAGGAGATTGCTGAGGCAATGACAACATGTAATCACTGTTGTTAGATGGTGGTTAACCGCTATATGTTCACATGTCAAACTATATTCTCTATATAAAAATGTATTCTATATACTTAATAGTTGCATTTGAATTAGTTTATGGTATATGATGAGTGCTTGAATATATTAGTGGTGATTGATATACAAATTGTTTTAGGTTGCAAGTTTGAAGAAGAAGAAAAAAAAGAAGAAATTAAAAGATGAGGATGAAGCGGAACCGGAAGCTGTTTGAGATTCTTCCCACTGTCTCACCTGTCAACCTCAACCCTTCATGAGTTTTAAAATTCTTTTTTTTTTATGTTGTAAATACCTGCGCAAAGTGTTTGTATTTTGAAAAATAAAAATCTGTTCTTTATCTGATGTTTTACTTGAATTAATTCAACACTAATGGTCTTAACCTGCTGTTATAAGGTAGTTCTTGACCCAAAAAGAGGCTTTGGATAGACTAGCTAATCATTACATTTAGTTGGTGCTGTGAACCGGACATATTTAATTACTTAATGATCTGAAGTTATGGCCAATAAGTTTTGAGTGAAAAAACAAAACGTACGTGCTCAGTTTGCTTTAGTTTCCTCACCGGCTGCTTCAGATTATCTCAATGTTAAAGCTTCTCTGCCTCACATGGTCTGGACCAGTTTCCCTTCTGTCTGACCCGGTTTCCTGTTTCTTCCTGCTCTAAAGTGTGTGTGTGTGTGTCAGAGTAAACCATGTAATATGCGGTGGCATTTTAGTTTCAAGAAACATCCCAGTATGATAGAAAGTCCTGATGCACTTTCCCAACAGTTTAACAGCCGCACCTTACTATATATTTACAGACTGAATTGTATTATGACATGAATAACATATTTTAAATCTAATGCAATATAAATGAGTATCGTGTAATTTCTGTCGTGCTCGCCTAGTCATGTCGGTTTAACGTCTTCTCACGATGTGGCGCGTGAACTACAGTAGAAATGCGTGAGGCTTCAGAACCTGCGATGAGTTTATTCCGTTAGACGCGTTTGTGACGGAGCGTCTCATCCAGCGAGGAAACTCTGCCTGCCGTCGCCAGAGAACAGAGCAGAAAGGTCCGACGGTCTTTAAACGCGTCTTCATGTTTCTGTGAAGCAGCGCGGCTTCAGCCTGCTAACAGGCAGCTAAACAGACCGCTGAGCTAAACTAACGAAGCCACGTTCAAACTCACCGAAGCGTTCTGGGTTCGTGGATGACGTCATGACGCGTTAACATCCGCCGTACTTTGTCTGTCAGCTGCGTGAGAATTTAGGGGGAAAAGTATCGTGACTTCGTTCGTCTAACGAAAGTTAGAATAGATTTAGTCCGTTTTTATTTTTTAAGATCGTCTCGTCTTAGTCATGGAAAAAAGGTTAAACATTTTTTGTCAGTTTTCCAAGGTTTAAAATAAGATATGCAAAGTAGTCAAATCTGCATACGGCGGTGCATTAGTACCATTTCTCAGCGAGGGCAAACAAAGAAAACTGGCAAGCTGAGACAAAGCAGAACTATTTGCACAATCGGATTCTAAAAGCCGAGAAAAGCCGCTTCCCAGATATTCTGTGAATAAATGAGTGGCGGCAGAGCCCGTGATGAGGGGGAGAGATGGCGATGTTTAACCGTGTCTTAAAAGTGTCCTAGTGTTTCACCATTGTTTTACCGCTGTTTTGTTGTCCCATTATATTTAGGTGTTGTACTTGAAAGTAAATAAAAGCGGGGGGGTGAATAGAAATTGTAAACATGTTATGCTATATTTATAGTGCTGTACTTAACGCTGACTTCGACCATTACCTCTCTGTCCTCCTCGTTCCCTAACAATGTCCAGACTGTGTTCAGTAGTTGTACTGTCCTGGCTATGACTTGATGTAGCCTAATTGATGTCCATTGATGTGTGTGTCTGTGTGATTCAATTTTTGATTGTGGGGTATGGGATGGAAATAGTTAATATGTCACTCATAATTAATTCTATTTGGAAAAAAATGTGTATCCGATAAGAGCTCATTCTGATTCACAGTATTTGAATGACTAATGTCTTGCAATGTGTTGGTCTTTTCCTGTCTGTCAACCCAAGGACACTGACCCAGAAGAGGAGCAGACGAAAGGCCTCATTGTGGGTATCCTCACTGTGTTGGAGGATGATAACAGCGCAGCGCCTCAAAGTGTCACAAGTGTTGCTGTTGTTGTGGAAGAAGAGATTGTCCTTTAAGATCTCCCTGACCTGCCAACTGCTTTTGCTTACCTCTTTGGACTGATCTATACTTTAAACTTTAAGTACCCAAAGGATCTCAGGTACACATTTGAAACTGTTCACAGGGTTATCATGGATCTTGGTACAGACGTCTCTGCAAGGGTCAAATCCCTCAAAAACAAACTCCTTCAGTGAATCCACAAGTTAACTGATAATGTTGGATCTGGAATTGTTTCCTTCTGAAAGTTCCCTTCTGTCCAGCCAACATTAATTTACTCTTGCTGTTACTCACTCAACTGTTATGTACCTCAATCTCCCACTCTTAATTTATTTTGCACTATTGGGTTTTTCTTTAACACGTTACATTACATTACATTACATGTCATTTAGCGGACGCTTTTATCCAAAGCGACGTACAATAAGTGCATTCAACCATAGGGTACAAACTCAGGAGAACAAGAAACAAGAAAGTGCAATTTCCTCAAATAAGCCAATTTACAATTTGCTATAGATGAGTGACGTTACAAGTACAATTTAAGTGCTACAATTTGTTAGTCTTAAATTATAAAAAATTAGAATTAAATAGAGTGACAATTTAACATTAGCATCCATTCTAAAATCCTAATCTCGTAATTCTTGTTGTTCTGGGTCTGTTCCCTCTGAATGCAGTTTGGATAAAAGCATCAGCTAAATGAAATGGAATGTAGAGGGATTGTGCCAAAGTGAAAATGTATGTGGCTCCATCTGCTGGACGTTTATTTTTTATTTTTTTTATTACCAATTTTTCTATTAAATATGTCCAGTCAGTTTACAAGAATAAAACTAAAGTCTAATATAGGAGTCCTGCAATGCGTCTGATTTAAGAAAGGTGCAGATTGCATTTCATATTTGAGGCTTTAGATTGGGCTGCTGTTGAACTTTATAGTAATATTTATTGGATCATCAATATTTATATATAATTTTATATATATATATATATGAAGATAAAGATTACCTGCATTTTGAGGAGGAGAGCAGTTATCCACATTTAATCTTTCTAATAATTGTAATTGTGTATCAGTACACCTAAAATGGGTAACGTTTAGTCAATGAATTATAAAACTAGCTTGTGAAGAACGGAGCAGTCATGACTAAATGTGTGAGAAAGAAGCAGATTTGAAACCAGTTGTAATAAAAAGATCACGCAGAAATGTCTAATGCAGCTTCTTTTAGTAACAGGTAGTCTTGACACTTTGCATTCCAGCATCATAATCACCTATTATTACTATTATCATATGTTATCTGAATAATCAAAAAGCTTCAGTGGACAGGTGATTAAGACAGATTGATGTAATAAATATCTTCTGTCATTTATTGTGCGTCTGTAGATATTAAGGGTTTCATTTCAGTTTCCTCGCAGGATTTAAGGCTTTTACACAGCCAGGTCAACATTTAATTATTGAAGAAATATTGTTATTGCGACCACCGCTACCACAGGGGTGTGGTTGACCAAAGCAGACAAACCAAGGCAAAGTATTCCCCGAGAGTAATACATTTATTTTAATATTGGTCTTAAAATATCAGTGATACGAAACTAATTTATTAAAACAATTCCAATTAAAACAGCTTGGCTGTAGTGGGCCAAGAAGGGAGGGGGAAAACGGGCTCTGGGACAGGACCGTAACTGGCGCCACTGCTCCGCACACACCAAACAATATGAATCAAAACCATAAGCATGAAACTAAGAACAATGCGTAAAACAAGAGAAAATACTGTCAAACGCACAACTGAAAAATGCAAGGAGCAAGTGAGAGGCCCAGTCACCAGCCCCACCACTGTCCGGTAGCCACGTTGCTGCCACCCCCAAGGACTCCTGAACAGAAACAAAGACCCAGATTTAGTAAATACAGTTTTGTGCAAAATAACCTTTTGGAGCAGGAGTTTAACTATTCAATTGGTTCTGTCTGTGTCGCAATCTGTGAGACAAACCGTGTTAGAAAACCAATTGGTGATACAGAGCCACATTCTTGTGCCTGAAGGAAAGAGGTTTACTATGGGACCCACTCAAATGTAGCGGAACCAGTGTAATATACACTCCACCAAAAGAATAGTAATTAATGTCAATATATTTCAATTTTAAAGTATTTGCTGCAAATTCTGCATTCTGCAAATGTGCACCTTTCCCTTTCTGAGAGACATCAGTTTCAGATTGCAAGTGCAAGTGCACATCATTTACACCCATGTAGCTTTACCCGACCTCCATTGGAAGTGACAAATGTTTCCACTGTTTAAATGTATGTTCTTAACAAAGAGATCTCAAATACTGTAAAACAAAAGTCTTCAACTATGGCCACTGGCGAGCTTGGCCAAAAGTGGGATATATAATGGAGTAAACTACAAGTGTGGGATGATTTTGATCCATGGCTTATTGGGTTGCACTGCGAGAGTTTGCCGAAATGATCTAAATGGTAATACTGCAAGACAAGTTCATCTTTGTTGTCAAGAAGCTCAGCCTGTAAGATTATAGATGAATGATTTAAGTAATGAATAATCTTTTTGGAAATGTGTAGCCAGTGAGGAAATGTCCCTCCTAAGCTACTGTAGGTTCAGGAAGGCCTTGGTACCGCCTACTTCCTGGTTTACCCATTAGACAGGGTATAAAAGCTGCACATGATGAAGCTGCATCAGTGTGATTGTCCCTTTCTTTGTTGGAGTTTGGCTTGAGAATCCAGTAAGTGGGTAAGTGTTTCTATTCTCCCTCCAGTCCAGGCTGTTATGGGAAGCCACTGCAGTTTTGCTTTATACTGTTTTGTCTTTCTTTATTTGAGTAGTATTTGTTTGGTTACCTTAGAATCCGGAAAATTACTTTTTGTTAAATTTTGTTCTTTTTAGGTGTTGAGGCTCAACCGCATGGCTGCCCAGATGGTGGTGAGTCTGGTGACTGGGCCCCTCACCTGCTCTCCATATTCTCAGTAGTTTTGGTATTTTTTTTTTTTTCAGTAATGGTGAATTTTGATGGGTTTGTGTGTGGCCTCTAAGCCGGTGAGGGCCCTGTCCCCCGCTGCAGCCTAGTCACCAGTAACACAATTTGTTTTGAAGCCCATTTTGTTGTTGTTTTAATTCCTAGAGACACCTGTTGGGTCACCTGTTGATCCGTGCTTGTTTAATAATGAATTGTATGAGGAAATAAATCACCCTGTGCTACCGGGGGTTACAAATGTCTTTGCTACAATTAAACAACTCTTCTCATGATTTAATATGCACACTATGCCTTAGCTAAAACTAATGCATTCAAATGCAACAGTTCAACTATTTCTCCCTCATTCTTCCATTTTGGTGAAGTAGACCGACCAAATAGAAATTGGCCAGTGGTACTCCTAGAGGCTATTTCCACATAGTTGAACTTTACTAATTGCTTGTGGTCTCTTCTCAGACTGCTATGGCTGGTTCGACACCTGCAGAATCAAGGTGATTTTGGGAGCGCAGCATGGGAAAACTGACTCTTCCAAAGTCACTAGATTATCGTCACAGCAAGATGAGGACAAACCAGGTTAAAGGAGAATCTGACTGCGATACATGGATGAAGTTGGCCAATTTCTTTTAATCTCAATTCTACCACTGAATTTGAGGACTATTAAGCTGCCAAACTGGTAAGTGGATGTGTAAAATGTTTGACCTTTTTGTGGATTGCCCCCATGACAACTATAATTAGTAACAGTCTTATGAATTGTAGCTGATTTCATTTTTGTTGAATATTGTCTTGTCATTTACTCATTTCAGTTTGTTCAATATGTGTTTGAAAAGAAACCTGGTGGTGCCATAGAGTACAAACAAAAGGTATGACTGACTTGAGTGAACTACACTACCACAGACTCGTATCTCAAAATGCAAGCTTTTTTATGTATGCACATGCATGTAGTGGCAGTAATTGCTTTTAAAATAAGTATTTGTTGCGTCAATCTCCGGTCACAAGCCGCACAGAGAACTCAAGGCCCATATCCACCCCGGACAGTCGAAGCGCACCCAGACTGCAGGGGGCGACGATGCGGCTAATGGAGATTCCACCCACAGGAAGTGCCTGCGTACGAACAGGAAGCGCATGGCATAAAATGTTTGTGCAGAGCTCCGATGGCCCTCTCACTCGGCCCTGAGGAAAAGGACACTGTGGCCACGGGCTCTAATCTCCCAGAGACGCAACTGGTAGGACAGTATGATTTATTGTTGTTCATGCTTTGCTTTACTTTGTGAAATGTGTCATTTAAATTAAGTAATGAAGACTTCTCCTAGGTTTATCTGAATAATTTTGGTTTGGGAATTCAGTCGCATTTATTACTTTAAGAAAGTTATTATCGAAATGTACTCTACTAATTCATGGGTTTTGCTTTGTTTGAAAGGTTATCAACCTGCTCTGTTCTTTGTCCGATTCACCAAACTACCCTTAAGAGGAATAAAGGATCAAAAAATCAACAGTTCTTGTCCTTTGCGTCCACCGGAGAGAAAGCTCTTTCAAGTTTGGGCAGAGCCGTGGTTAATCAGGAAAAACACACGAAACTTGACAGTATTTAAAGAACTATATATATTGTCCTTTTAACTGAAAGTGAGTTTATTTGCAAAATATATCTCATATGGGGGGGTTGCTAAAGATGTTAGAGTTACTTCTTTTTTTTTCTCTTGCAAAAATGTTTTGTGGTTGAAGCTGGGTATAAATAATTGAAAGTGGATTAATATAATGTCGATGTATTTTGGAATCTTGTAGGACACCACTGCAATTGCTGATTATGGACTGTCTACTTTAAATGACCGCACAGTCCAGATCAAAGGAGGCTTATGGGGAGCAGATGGGCGGGGCCTGAGCTCTTCATGCAGGTATTGTTTTTGTAATGCTTGTCGTGGCTCTGCTAAAATGTCTAATTGTATTCCATGCCAGAGTTTCTGTTCTTCCAATATGTAGCGGTCTGTCTTGCAGAACTATTTGGACCCTTAATTTGCTGTTTGCCAATAGTTCAAGAATGTGTTTGTATTTCTAAATGTTATCGTGTGTGCAAGGAGATGCCAACTTGTCAATTTTTTTTTTTTTTCCTGAATGAGTTGCTAAAGTGTTATGATTTCACGCCGCCAGACTGTCAGATATCGCCACTGCCTCGGGAGTCCCCCAAAGTGGTCAAGCAGTTTCTCCTCCTGTGACAGTATAAATTACCGCAGTCTTGAGTGAACGTAAATGACTTTTTCAGTTCTAATACACTTCTCTTGCCAACCATTCAAGAATCCTGACTGTTGCATATGTGTTAACATGAAATCTGCTAATATTAGTTGTATGTCTGAACTCTGCCACCCTCTTTATTGCTGTTCATTTAATATTTCATTTTTCCACTGTATGTGCAAAAATCTGGCCATCCAGTGTTCGGAAAACGTCCGGTTGGGTAAATCGTTCTGTGATTCCCACTCATGCAACCGGGTTCCGAGCCGACAACAGGTCCTGCCTCGGGCTCCTAGTAGGCCAAAGTGAGTTCAGCCTGCTGTGAAAATTGCCAGCCGGAATGATTTAGCTGTAACCCTTTATCAGTACTGGTTTGGCATGCGCTGTGTGAAGTCTAATCATGTTCTGTTAGAAGCCGGACTGTTGTTGGTTAACGCAACTGCGGTGAATAGTACTGAACTACTCCAGTCTCTTCCTTTTTTCGTCGGTTTAAAAGATGCATGCTTGTCCAGTGTTTAAATAATTCCCTTTGCTACAGACGTTTTGTGCTACACACAGGACATTCAGAGAACACAACAGGTGCCGTCCTGCTTCAGGGGCACGCAAGCTTTAGCCTCCCTGTGGAAATTGCCCAACTTTGCGATTCGAGTAACAGTAATGACTTTTTGTCCCCCAGTAATGGTCACAAATGCAGGCTGTGTGACGGTATAGAAAAGTGTTTGTAACTGGTCATTGCATAATGTGTTAACTTGGCAGTGCTTCTTGGCTTTGGGTTGCATGTCCTGAACTATCTGTTTTAGGAATGTGTATTGCTAAAGTAAACCAGCGGTGCCAGAGAGCATGTCATTGTTTCAAGACTTGAATGGATTATTTGGGTAGTGTTATTTGTGCAGGACGATCGTACAACCTTCTACAAGGCTTTTTCCAAATCATCTCCCGGCGACAGGATTTGGCAGAGGGTAGACCTGTTGTTGTGGTTTATCGGGGGCTAGTGGGCAAGGTAGCGGGGGCTAAGTGTGGGGGCAGTGTTAGCGGGGGCTAAGTTGGGCTAGGTGACGGTTGCTTAAGTGGTGCTAGGGTTAGCGGGGGGCTAAGTGTGGGCTAGGGTTATCCGGGGGCTAATGTGGCCTAGGGTTCGGGTCCTAAGTGTGGGCTATGGTGTTAGCGGGGGCTATTTGGTGATAGGTTTAGCGGGGGCAAGTGTGGGCTAGGGTTTTACCGTGGGCTAAGTGTGGCTAGGGTTGAGCGGGGGCTAAGTGTGTCAGGTTTTAGCGATGGGCTAAGTGGCTATGTAGCGGGGGCTAAGTGTGGTCTAGGGTTGCGGGGCTAAGGTGGCTAGCGTTTAGCGGGGCTAAGTGTGTCTAAGTTTTATAGCGGGGGCTAATGTTGGCTATTGGTTAGCTGGGGCGAAGTGTGGAGCTAGGTTAGCGGGGCTAAGTGGGGCTAGGTTTGCGGGGGCTAAGTGTGGGCTAGGGTTAGCGGGGGCTAATTTGGTCTAGGGTTTCGCGGGGGCTTTAAGTGTGGGCTAGTTATCCGGGGCTATGTGGATAGTGTTATCGGGGGCTAAGTGTGGGCTCGGGTTAGCGGGGGCTAAGTGTGGGCTAGGGTTAGCGGGGCTAAGTGTGGTCTAGGGTTAGCGTGGGCTAAGGTGTGGGCTAGGGTTATCGGGTCTAAGTGGTTGGCTATTGTTGCGGGGGCTAAGTTGGGCTAGGGTTGTACGGGCTAAGTGGTGGGCTAGGTTAGCGGGGGCAAGGTGTTGGCTATGTTAGCGTGGTGCTAATTGTGGGCTAGGGTTAGCGTGGCTACGTGTTTGCTTAAGGGGTTAGCGGGGGCTAAGTGGGCTAGGTTAGCGGGGTCTGAAGTTTGGGCTATGGTTAGCGGGGCTAATGTCGGGCTAGGGTTAGCGGGGGCTAAAGTGTGCTAGGTTAGCGGGGCTAAGTGTGGGCTAGGGTTAGCCGGGGCTATTGTGGGCTAGGGTTAGCGGGGGCTAAGTGTGTGGCAGGGTTGCGGGGCTAGTGTGGGCTAGGGTTAGCGGGGGCTGTGTGGGCAGGGTTAGCGGGGCTAGTGTTGGCTGGTTAGCGGGGCACGTGTGGGCTAGGGTTAGCGTTGGCTAAGTTTGCTAGGGATCGTGGGCCTAAGTGTGGCCTAGGGTTGCGGGGCTAAGTGTGGGCTAGGGTTTAGCGGGGGCTAAGTGTGGGCTAGGGTTGATCGGGGGCTAATTGTGGGCTAGGGTGAGCGGTTGCTAGTGGGGGCTAGGTTTAGCGTGGGCTAAGTGTGAGGCTAGGGCGGGGGCTAGATGGTGCTAGGTTGCGGGGCTAAGTGGTGGGCTCGGGTTAGCGGTGCCTAACGTGTGGGCTAGGTTAGCGGGGGCTAGTGTGGCTAGGGTAGCGGTTGCTAATGTGGGCTAGGGTTATCGGGGGCTAATTGGCTAGGGTTTAGCGGGGGCTAAGTGTGGGCTAGGGTTACCGGGGCTAAGGAAGTGTGGCTAGGTTACGGGGCTAAGTGTTGGGCTAGGGTTTATCGTGGGCAATGTGGGCTAGGTTAGCGGTGGCTATTTTGGGCTAGGGTTGCGGGTTGCTAAGTGTGGGCTTAGGGTTAGCGGGGGCTAAGTGTGGTCTAGGGTTACGGGGGCGAAGGTGTGGCTAGGTAGCGGGCCTAAGTGTGGGCTAGGGTAGCGGGCTAAGTGTGGGCCTAGTTTAGCGGGGTCTAAGTTTGGGCTAGGGTTACGTGGGGCTAAGTGTGTTGGGCATGGTCGCGGGGGCCTAAGTTGGGCTAGGGTTAGCGTGGGCTAAGTGTGGGCTAGGGTTACGGGGCTAAGTGTGGGCCTGGGTTAGCGGGGGCTAAGTGGTGTCAGGTTAGCGGTGGGCTAAGTGTGGGGCTAGGGTAGTCGGGGGCTTAAGTGTGGTAGGGTTGCGGGGCTAAGTGGGGCTCGGTGAGCGGGGCTAAGTTGGGGCTAGGGGTGTATCGTTGGGGCTAATGTGGTCAGGTTAGCGGGGGCTACGTGTGGCTAGTGTTAGCGGGGGCTAGTGTGGGCTAGGGTTGCGGTGGGCTAAGTGTGGGCCTAGGGTATGCCGGGGCTAATGTGGGGCTAGGGTTAGCGGTGTCTGCAGTGTGGGCTAGTGTTAGCGGGGGCTAAGTGTGTGCTAGGGTTAGCGGGGGAAGTGGGGGCTAGGGTTTAGCGGGCTAAGTGTGTGGCAGGGTGAGGGTGCTAAGTGTGTGCTAGTGGTTAGCGGGGGCACGTGTGGGCTAGGTTTGCGGGGCTAAGTGTTGCTAGGGTTAGCGTGGCTAAGTGTGGGCTAGGTTAGCGTGGGCTAATTGTGGGGCTAGGTTTAGCGGGGGCTAAGTGTGGTAGGGTTATCGGGGCTAAGGTGGGCGTAGGGTTAGCGGGGCTAATTGTGGGCTAGGGTAGCGGGGGCTAAGTTGGTGGGCCAGGTAGCGGGGGCTAAGTGTGGCTAGGGTTAGCGGGGCTAAGTGTGGGCTCGTGTTAGCGGGGGCAAGTTTGGGGCTAGGGTTAGCTGGGCTGTGTGGGCTAGGGTTGCGTGGGCTAAGTTGTGGGCTAGGGTTAGCGGGGGCAGTGTGGCTAGGGTTTATCGTGGGCTATGTGGGCTAGTGGGTTACGGGGGCTAAGTGTGCTAGGGTTACGGGGTCTAAAGGTGGGCTCGGGTTTAGCGGGGCTTACTTGGGGGCTAGGGTTAGCGGGGCTAAGTGGTGGGCTAGGGTTAGCGGGGGCTAGTGTGGTTCTAGGGTTAGCGGGGGCTAAGTGTGTGCTAGGTGAGCGGGTGCCTAATGTAGGCTCTGGTTGCGGGGGCTAAGTGTGGCGATGGTTATCGGGGTCTAAGTGTGGCTATGGTTAGCGGGGGCTAAGTGTTGGCTAGGGTTACGGTGCTAAGTGTGGGCAGGTTAGCGGGCTAAGTGTGGGCTAGGTTTATCGGGGCTAAGTTGGGCTCGGGTTAGCGGGGGCTAAGTGTGGGGCTGGTTACGGGGGCTAAGTGTGGCTAGTTAGCGGGTGCTAGTGTGGCTGGGTTGCGGGGTCTAAGTGGTCTAGGGTTAGCGGGGGCTAATTGGTGGGGCTAGGGTTAGCGGGGCTAAGTGTGGGCTAGGGTTAGCTGGGCTAAGTGTGGCTAGGGTTAGCGGGGGCTAAGTGTGGGTAGGTTAGCGGGTGCGAATGTGGCTAGGGTTGCGGGGGCTAAGTGTGGGCTAGGGTTTCGGGCTAAGTGTGGGCTAGGGTAGCGGGGGCTAAGTGTGGGCTAGGTTGCGGGGGCTAAGTGTGGGCTAGGGTTAGCGGGGGCTAGTGTGGGCTAGGTTTAGCGGGGCTAGTGTGGTCTAGGTTTAGCGTGGGCTAATGTGGGCTAGGGTTAGCGGGGCTAAGTGTGGGCTGGGTGTAGCGGGGCTTAATTGTGGTCTAGGTTAGCGGGGGCTAAGTGTGGGCTAGGGTTAGCGCTGGGCTAGTGTGGGCTAGGTTAGCGGGGGCTAAAGTGTGGCTATGGTTAGCGGGGGCTAAGTGTGGGCAGGGTAGCGGGGCTAGTGTGGGCTAGGTAGCGGGGGCTAAGTGTGTTCAGGGTTATCGGGCGAATGTGGCAGGGTTAGCGGGGGCTAAGTGTGGGCTAGGGTTAGCGGTTCTAAGTGTGGCTAGGGGTTTTAGCGGGGGGCTAAGTGTGGTCTAGGGGTTATCGGGGGCTAAGTGTGGCTAGGGTAGCGGGGGCTAAGTTGTGGCTAGGGTTAGCGGGGGCTAAGTGTTGGGCTATTGTTAGCGGGGGCTAAGTGTGGGCTAGGTTTAGCCGGGGCGAGTGGTGGCAAAGGGTTATCGGGGGCTAATTGTGGGCTAGGGTTTACGTAGGCTAAGTGTGGTCTAGGTTAGCGTGGGTAATGTGGGGCTAGGTTACGG